CCCACCCCCCACCCCCGTCCCCTTTCTGCACTTATGGCACCCTTGAGCATCTGCGTGAGGAGAGGAGGACGCGCACATGCGCTTGTTCGCCATAAGTCCACATCACGGCTGTATTGCTCGTGTCATCAGTACACGAGGTGCACAGTGGAAGGGCTCGTCGTGCCTCCGCGCGGAGGACAAGCGCGTGGCACTTGGCGATGCGAAACCAAAGCGCTTCCGCTTAACGCCGTGTTGGGAGCCACGGGAGAGGGAGGGCGGCGAGGATTTGGCTGAGGCCCGCTAGCGCGCCGAGACATATGTGGCATGCTGATCGCAACAGCGAGGTGCGGCTCACGCTGTCAAGGGAGGTTTGGAGGGGCGGGGGGGGGGCGCTTTGGGTGGAGGGCGCACAGACACACGTCTGTCACATTCCAATCCCCTCACCAATGTGGGGGACTGGAAAAAAATAATAAAAAGTCGACATTTTGTGGCGCCAATATGCGGGAGGCTGAGAGACAAAACTGCGAGGAAAAACCCCGGTGGCTCAGTATCTTAGCAACTGCCTCCATCTCCTTGGAGACGGAGGGCTGACATCATTTCCTGCCTGGGAGAGGAAAACTCACTTAAGTGTGTGCGTTTCCGTGTCCGTGTGCTTTCATGGAAGTTGACTGCATGTTCCACGTGGGCATGCGTCGGACCGGCACACTCGAATTAAAAAAAATGGACTAAACGACAGTTTGACTCCACGAGTAGAGGTGAAATTTTGTCATCGCTATTGTATTTTATGGCACACTTCCAGCTGATTATTTTTAGTTCAAGAACCGCATTGCCTTAGATACGTGATGGCTTTGCCAACGGCTCATCTTGAATTTTCAAAACGTCAGCGCTGAGAACGTTGAGCGATTTGCGACCCAAAGTTGTTTATCTTTCACTCCCCTCTTGTGGTGGAAAATGAGAATTGCAATCAATCTCAAGACAGATCGGAACCACGCGGCAAATTAATCGCGTTATCCTTGTCCCACCGGTAGATTGTGCTGTTGGAGCGGTTTTGGAGTTTTTTCTTTTTTCCATGTTTCTTCCCACGGGCCCCTTCATCGTCCTTATGCGCCAATTCAACACAAGTACCGTGTCGACCCCCAAAGGTCATGAGAAATTGCCTTTTAAAAATACATACATGTATTTATCCTCCTCAAGAAGACGTCATATTCTGATTTTAAAGTCACAAGGGGCGACGCCTTGAACCGGTTGCCAGCCAATCGCGGGACGCACAGAAACAACAATCCGCGCTCACACTTACACCTCGGGACAATTTGAAGTGCCCAATTGAACCTGCTATGCATGTTTTTGGAATGTGGGAGGAAACCGGAGTACCCGGAGAAAACCCACGCAGGCCCGGGGAGAACATGCATACTCCACACAGGGAGGCCGGAGCTGGGATTGAAGCCCATACCGCTGCACTGTGAGGTCGACGCGCGAACCACCATGGCTACTATTATGTTATATTGTTTTTTTCCATGTAAAGCCACCAGTTGGACTGTGCAGTCTGTGCTCGCTGAAAATAAGCCATATGTCCTGTGAACTGAACTCAGGGTAAACTGATTTCAAGCATCAATGTCCCTGATAAAAAAAAAAAAACAACAAGCAGAAAACACAAGCTGCACACTCAGCAGAGGTGATTATAACATTTAATCACAGACTCCTATCGCTGCGCCGCGTCGACTTAGTCGCTCCGAGGTTTGATTTACCCGCCCTCTCGTGAGGAAAAATCTCATTCACGAGACGGATTGCTGAGGGGGGCCCTCCGACCGGCCCCTATAAATCATTCTTTAATCAGAAGCCTCGGAGATTGGGTGCAGGCACCCTCGGGAGCAAGAGCGCGACGCGGCGACTCCTCCCCGCGCGCCCGCGCAGTTTTTATCTTCGCGTTTCCCCCCTCCGGGAATGTCAGTCCGCTCGTCAGGGAACGAAGAGGGATGACCCCGACCCGCGCCCTTGCCCGAAAGCAAAACACCGCGGCGCAATTCGTGTCTGTCAATGGAACGCTGCTGTTTTATTCAACAGTTGGCGCTGACGGAGGAGAGCGGAATATTAGCCGACTTCAGCAAGGGCTCCAAAATAGCACCGCTGAGGCGAATGCTGCAGTGATTAGTCTGTCACGTTGAAACTCAAACAACATTGTTGTCGGAAACAAAGATGACACCTGGTTGCGTGATCGGGACATTTTGCGTCACTTCAGAGGATGTTGTGCTTCTCCTTCTGGTGTGCACGCCTTGGCTGACGAGCAGCAGTCTCATATTAACATTTGAAGATACACGGAGCTGATCAAAACCCGAACGCTTCGAAACCCACGGTAACACCGCAACACCAGTGCTATGACGTCTTGATTTTTTTTGGGGGGGGTGGTAGGCAGCTCAGAGGGGTATGGACTCATCTAAAGCAAAACTAGATCATTATCATTTTCTTTCTAGTTATCAGAGGAGCATGGGTTGCTGTAATTGCTGCCC